CTGTTGGGAGCTACACAAAAGGGTCAGCGGTGTAAAATATTTTTGAAAACAGTTTAGTTTGTGAAATACTTTCGCTTTGAGGTCAAATTTGTTAATTCTGACACAATCAACTGAGGTGTCCAATTAAACTTGGATTGGTCCTTCAAAAAAATATATTAAACTCGGATCACCCAATTTTGACTAAGTCAACAATTTCTCAAAGCTCTCACTCAATTCTTTTATACTATACAATATGCTTTCTAATTTTTAAGTCCTCACAATTAATTGAGGATAGAACTTGGTCACCTGATTTTGACCAGGTCAATCATTTCTCAAGGAGATCTTCCATTTAATTTAGTTATTTTAATTCACCATACTACCTAATTTTGAAGTTCTTTTATTTGATTCAGATATTCGAATTTGAGTTTGGTTTATGATTTTGATCGGACCAACGATATTTCAAATCAATCAACACCAACCAGCTAGAAAAACATATAAACCCCGTGCCCCCTCTTACCACCTAAAAAAAGAAGGGTCACCATGTGATGATATTATAGCACCAATATAGTACATGTAGACACCGACACCGAAATTTACCCACAAAAGTATGAGTTGTTTAGTGCATAACACAAAATCACACCATGAAGGCCCACCAAATAACTGCACTATAAATAAGCATAAAACACACTCCATTGTCTTCCTCATCCGCAAACTAAATATTCCATCAGCTCCAAAATACATGGGGTGTTAGTTCTTTGGAAAGTCAAATTTCTTTAACTTTCATCAAGTTTAGAGCCAAAAATATCAACATCCACAATATTAAGCCAAAAAATTATGGAAATTCATTTAATGACGAATCTAATAACACCAATTTGATATTAGGAATTTTGATATATTTCTTCATAAATTTGATCACACTTAAAGATGTTGGACTTTTCAAAAAATTAATATACCATATATTTTAAAATAAAATGAGCAATTTTTTTAAGAATCTCAACAACACCAGCGGCGCAGTGAAGCGCGCCCAACCCTTCTAGTGGTGTAGTACTCCCAACACATCGTGTCGGAATAAAAAAATCAACGCTCCAAAATGCGTTTGAAAATAACATTTTGGAGCAACTATTTTTTTGCCATGATTTCCACAAATGTTATATTGTGATGAAATTTTGCAAGCCAACAAATATATTTTCAATGTTTCAGACAAAAAAAATCAGATTTTTTGGATTTTTCTATTTTTTCCTGTTCATCTGAGCTCACATGAGCTCTGGTGTAGAACAACACTTTCAACCTTGACTGTCCAACGTGACAAAGGGGTAAATGTCATTGATCGTGGCGTTTACCTCCCCTCTTCCCCGACCCAAAACGCCATAATCCATGGTGTTTCCGCCTGATTAGTAGTTAAACAGACACACAGGCCGAGCCCATCCCATTGTCACTATCCTATGGTGGCTGCCGAACAAGGAACAAAGAGAGGTGCCCCCCCCACCAAATCCTTCTAGATCCCCTCTTTCCACCCTCAAATTTATAGATCTGAGGTCTAGAAGCTTCCTTGAGGTAATCTCCCCTGTTTCCTCCAATTTATTTTGGTTAAAATCTCTTATTGTTGTTACATTATTCAACCTTGGGTGATGATAGATGAGTAGATACTTTATTTGATTTAGACTTTTGTGTATTTAGTAGATGATTATAGATGATTGGTAGTGAGTAGATGAAGTGTTGGTGAACATGTAGGACAATTTATTTAGTGTTTGTGCATATATTGTCCCATAGGATATTTTCATGAGGGATGATGAATATTTGATGGTTTTATGTGGTATGGTTGGTTTGATAATTTGGTTTGATTATAGATGGTGCGTGTATGTGCAAGAAAGCAAGTCCATTATGTTTAGATGATGTGTATATGTGGTATGAAAATATATGGCGTGTGTATGTGGTACGACAATATTGTTTGATTTATATATGATGTGTCTGTCTGTATGTGGTATGCTTAAGAGGAGAATCAATATGTGTGTATGTAGATGACTTGGATATGAATCAATCTGAGAGGTTGCTTTTTCTAAATTTTAGCAAAAAGAATGCATTATGTTTATAAGCAAATCCATTTAATGTGTGAATGGAAAATTTATGTTGTTGAGTTGATGTTATTATGCCAAATTACTTGATATTTTTTCCATACGTGATTTGTAGGATGGCGGATAATGGACCTTGGTACGAAAATTTAATTCAAGAGTACGACAGGGAGCATCGTGTGCGGGCCATTGAAAATGGGCAGGTAAGAAGCAAGACTTATCAATTTTCGGTGATTCTCATGTTCCAAACATTGCCAAACACCCAAAATTCACAAGATTTCATAGATAGCAAAGCATCGATATTAACATAGTCTTGTCACAGCACAGTACTCAGTTCATCACACAAGTCTATAATGACATGAAAGTTCATAACACACAAGAAGTCTCGAATGACATGGAAGTTCATTGCACACAACAAGTCTCGAACTGAAAAGTTCATACATCGTATATCATCGAGGCCATTTCCCCTACTTGTCGCATGCCTCATCCTTCTCTTGTGCAAAAATGCAAGGCAAGCTCTTTCGGGCTTCCTTGCCCTCTCCTCCCGACGAGCCACCTTCTCTTTGCGCACCCTCTCCTCCTCACACTTCTTCCGCTCCTTCCTGTCCTTCCGACGACGCTCATGGCCATCCTACAAATCAAGTGTTTGTGTTAGTGATACACAATGAAGCAAACGAGATCACTTGCATGCCATGTTTATTTGTTTAACATGTTGGTGGGCGGTCATAGGTGTTAGTTGTACGTGCACGATCATGTGCACAGTTGGGATACATGAAGAATCTTCTACCTTCTGTCCATACCTTCTTCCGGTTAGTGGACGTACACCTTCATATTGCAAACATCACCATACTAATATGGTGGTGATTTCTGTTGGGGAACGTAGTAGAAATTCAAAATTTTCTATGCATCACCAAGATCAATCTATGAAGGAATCTAGCAACGAGGGGAAGAAGAGTGCATCTACATACCCTTGTAGATCGCTAAGCGGAAGCGTTCAAGTGAACGGGGTTGATGGAGTCGTACTCGTCGTGATCCAAATCACCGATGATCCTAGTGCCGAATGGACGGCGCCTACGTGTTCAACACACGTACAGCCCGGTGACGTCTCCTACGCCTTGATCCAGCAAGGGGAGAAGGAGAGGTTGGGGAAGACTCCATCCAGCAGCAGCATGACGGCGTGGTGGTGATGGAGGAGCGCGGGACTCCAGCAGGGCTTCGCCAAGCACTACGAGAGACGAGGAGGGAGAGGGGTAGGGCTGCGCCAAGAAGGAGATCAAATCACGTGTGTTGGGCAGCCCAAACCTCAAGTATATATAGGGGAAGGGGAGGGGATGCGCCCCCACCTAGGGTTCCACCCTAGCGGTGGCGGCCAGCCCAGATCCCATCTGGTTGGGCAGCCAAGGGGAGGGGGAGAGGGAGGCGCACCAGGCATGGGCCCTAAGGCCCATCTGCCCTTAGGGTTTGCCCCCCTTCCTCCCCTTAGGCGCCTTGGGCCCTTGGGGGGGGGGGTGCACCAGCCCACCTGGGGCTGGTCTCCTCCCACACTTGGCCCATGCAGCCCTCCGGGGCTTGTGGCCCCACTTGGTGGACCCCCGGGACCCTCCCGGTGGTCCCGGTACGTTACCGATAAACCTCGAAACCTTTCCGGCGACCAAAACAGGACTCCCCATACCTCCGGACCATTCCGGAACTCCTCGCGACGTCCGGGATCTCATCCGGGACTCCGAACAACATTCGTTAACCACGTATATCTATTCCCTATAACCCTAGCGTCATCGAACCTTAAGTGTGTAGACCCTACGGGTTTGGGAAACATGCAGACATGACCGAGACACATCTCCGGCCAATAACCAACATCAGGATCTGGATACCCATGTTGGCTCCCACATGCTCCACGATGATCTCATCGAATGAACCACGATGCCAAGGACTTAATCAATCCCGTATACAATTCCCTTTGTCTATCGGTACGATACTTGCCCGAGATTCGATCGTCGGTATCCCGATACCTTGTTCAATCTCGTTACCGGCAAGTCTCTTTACTCGTTCCGTAATACATCATCCCGTGATCAACTCCTTGATCACATTGTGCACATTATGATGATGTCCTACCGAGTGGGCCCGGTGATACCTCTCCGTTTACACGGAGTGACAAATCCCAGTCTCGATTCGTGCCAACCCAACAGACACTTTCGGAGATACCTGTAGTGTACCTTTATAGCCACCCAGTTACGTTGTGACGTTTGGCACACCCAAAGCACTTCTACGGTATCCGGGAGTTGCACAATCTCATGGTCTAAGGAAATGATACTTGACATTAGAAAAGCTTTAGCATACGAACTACATGATCTTGTGCTAGGCTTAGGATTGGGTCTTGTCCATCACATTATTCTCCTAATGATGTGATCCCGTTATCAACGACATCCAATATCCATGGTCAGGAAACCGTAACCATCTATTGATCAACGAGCTAGTCAACTAGAGGCTTACTAGGGACATGGTGTTGTCCATGTATCCACACATGTATCTGAGTTTCCTATCAATACAATTCTAGCATGGATTATAAACGATTATCATGAACAAGGAAATATAATAATAACCAATTTATTATTGCCTCTAGGGCATATTTCCAACAATTTCATCCCCCTTCTTCTTGTCCAAGCTGCCCCCTCCATGTCTTCGGCCTGTTCTCTCGTTCAGCGCACGATGACTTCATCATGGAACCGGATGAATCCATGCCAACAATAAGAACAATTGTTAGCAAATGACATGAACAAAGAAAATGTGTAAAAACAAGAAGTGTTCGGAATAGTATGAACAAATACTTGCCATTCATATTATATCAATCATTTTGATTACACAAATAATCAAAAGCCAATCCTCTACCGCTTCTGCATCTTGTACGACCACGAATACCGCCGGAACCTCCTCTACGACCACCACCACCACCACTTATAACACTTGTCCGCTCTCTACGGCCACCATGACCACGCATGTCTCCTCGTTCACCATCGAAATGTCATGTACCACCGGCCTGGCTAGTGCTAGGATTGCCCCCCTTTGACGTTTTCGTTTTCTTCCATGTCCTTGCATAGTGTTCTCTATCATCGCATCCCCCATAATTGCTAGTCTCAGGACCTATACGTTGAGAAATACATCAATGTACAGTTATATACGGTGTGGGTCATGCTGTGGGCTGTGAATCACGGTGCCGACCGAGCGTTCGTGATAACGAGCTACCTCTAGCTCGAGCACCAAACGGCATTTTTGAAAAAGTATCATCATATTCGACAAAGACGTGTTCCTTATTATAGCCATTTATGATGTAATATGAGTGTATTCGTATGAAAACTAATGATTACAATATTGTATTGAATACTAATCAAAATGTAAAACATTATGTAGAAAATTCAGCCGCGTAAATACATGGGCCCCGTACGTCATGATTAAATACATATATAGTCGTCGCTAGGTGGTCTACGGATATGGATATAAATTTTTTTATGTTTGTTGTACTGCCATGATTGAAAATAAATAGATCCAAAAATTTCCTGCAAGAAAACACATGGGTCACAGGTTGTTTTTTAAAAAGCAAACTCGTTGTTTCTTAGGTGACCCACTTGGATGTTGGATCACTACTTGTAACGAAAACAGAGGATGACGTAGACAAGCACAACAACAGAGCCAGAGGTGTGTTAAAAGAAAATTGAGGCATAGGTACGACACAAGGCGGCGCAGCTCCGGACAAAACCAGAAAATTAGCAATGCACGGGCAAAATATGCTGTGCAGGCTGCAGAGACGTTGACGCGCAGGAACCGCCGGCTGGAAAGGAGCCATGCACCACCAGCTCCACACCAATACGGAGAAAATTCGAGCCATGCAGGTGCATCCACTCTCCGGTCTTCCTCGGCTGGCACTTCGGTTACCAACAAAAGCTGGAGAAAGCCGTGTTGGCCACTATAATGTGAGTCTGGCCAACAACCAATCTGATTAATCATTTAGTTAAGGCTATATATTGGCTGTTATTGACCCAGGTTCTTGCATCCCAACTCGCAACAGAGCAAGAGCAGCCTTCCAATCACTACCCACGCACGAAGCTAAACCGTCTCAAAGAAACTACTAGCTAGCACCGAGCAATGGCTTCCAATGCGAGCTTGTTGGCCGTGATCATGGCGTGCACGCTCCTCAGTGGAAGCCACGGTGCACGACACTTGGCCGACACCACCCCGGCGGCTGCCCCACCCGCTGCGGCTACTGTCCCTGGCCTCCCGGCCGTGCCTACCATGCCGACCCTACCACCGATGTCGGCTATGCCAACGGTTCCGGTCGTGACAGTGCCAGCTATGCCGACGCTGCCCACAGTGACCGTGCCGCAGGTGACACTGCCTCCTATGCCTGCTGTTCCTTCTGTGCCCAAGGTGACCATGCCTCCGATGCCCGCCATCGTCGTGCCCAAGGTGACCATGGCGCCGATGCCCGCCGTCACTGTACCTAAGGTGACGGTGCCACCGATGCCCGCCATTCCTTCCATGCCCAAGGTGACACTGCCGCCGATGCCTTCTATCCCAACCGTCAACGTGCCTATGCCATTCCTGGCGCCGCCTCCATCAGCATAGGTGTGCCATGTGCATGGTGTTGCATTGATGGTGTCGCGCTCAGCGCACTTCATGTTTGATCCAGTGCTAGAACACTCGCCTGCTCCTGTGTGAAATATTTGTGTTCGCGTTGTATGTTTTGCATTTGAAGTATCAAATGTCAGTTAGTGATTTTTTAGGGTTGTCCTAGTACATATGCAGTATTTCTAAGTATTTAATGATGTATTTATATTCTATCATTGTTATATTGGAGGGATCAAAACTTCAAAATTCATGGAACGTGTATTTCACATCAATAACCTGCAACCAAAACATTTTTTTGAAGGGAGACCAGCAATTGCTGGACTTTTCATTATGATAGGTAAGGAGCAGTATTTACATTGACATGAAAGGTCATAAGGAGGAAAAAGCTAGAGAAAAAAAACTTAAAAAAACTGAAGAGAATGATCTCTTAGGGTTGGTCCCCAAAGGGCGACGACATGCATTTTGCACCCCCTAGCCTCTACAACCAAAACATTTTCACACTCTTGTATAATTTTGACGGTGGCGCGTTATTCAAGTTTGATCCAGTCGCTAGATTGCCTCACCCACCAGAAGTTTCTCTTCTCCAAAATCGTTCTCCCCTCTAGTCCTTATGCAACAACTCACTCTCCCTAGACACCACCGCCTCCTCCCTTCACAAACATGGTGAGCCGCAGCCATCTCTCTTTCCACTGGCGACAACCCTACTCTCTCTCACACACACTCTCTCTCTCAACCACATGGCGGTGCCCGCCACATGACATCGATCCTCATCTTGTGTCATGTCTTCGCATTAGCCTTGCTCCCATACGGAAGTTGTAAGAATCCCTCAAATCACGATAGCTCTGCAACTAGCAACCAATTTTTTTTGCGATACTATAAATTAAATAAGAAAACAACAAAAATATTGGATAAAATCAAATGTGAGCAATTTGAGAACTCTGAGAAAACAGTGATGTATTTACGAGGAATCGATTGTTGATAATCTACAAACAAAATCCCTACTGCTTGAGGAAACCTTTTAGATGTAGTTGCAGACAGTGATGAGTCTACTAATGTTCAAGATTTTATCATATGAAGTGGTGAGTCCTACACTAGAAGATTTGCGCCCCCTCGTGGCATGTACCTTTCCCTTCCCTCTGAAGTATTCCTAGGTTTGTAGACTCATTAGTATCCTAAAATAAATCTCCAGTTCCTACTCTACAACATTTGTGCCGGTGAGATTTTTTTTTCTTCATAATGTTCAAGAGAGACCTACCACCCGACAGAAGGCCTCAAATGGTCAGATTTTGCATCAACTCAAAACGCATTCCAAACCACCAGATGGAGGTATTCGCGAAGTAGGTTGTTGCAGAGTTAGTTTTGGTCCATTTGGAGTGGGTATGAAAACCATCACCCGGACAGGGTGCCACAAACACCATATATTTTCCTCATAATCCTAAAATCAGAACAATTATGAATTTTTGTTGTTGGAAATTAGCTATTTGCAATTAAAAATTGGCTTGTGTAAAAGAAATGTATAGAAACAAGATATTTCAAGATTGACTGAGGGAGAATGCTTTAACAGATTTAGCAGGAGCATTCAACGACGGTTGTGATATTCTATTCTTACTGATTCAATTTTATTTTGGTGTGTGCCACACGTTTTGTGGATCTACTGGCATATTATCAACCAAACAACTTCCATTCCAAAAGGGACCAAAATATTACCTGATTTAGAATGCTGAAGGCAAATGTTATCTTATATTTAAATTGAATCATTAAAGTTGAATTTGGGGTAAAGTTAAGAAAAGTGGGGGTGTAATTTTATCAG